GAGGCCGAACAGGCAAAACACTCACAAGAGTGCAAAACAAATCCATCTATGACCTTCATCGTTAACAAGAAACAAATCAGAATTCTTTGAATAAATGAGAGAGACTTGAGACGAACAGGATTCCCAATTGGAGAGTTAAACCTGGATAAACGTAAAGGAATTAATGAAATGAAGAAAAAACATCAATTCTGCCATCATATACTCTCCCTCATATTGTTCCAAACCAGTATGACTTTATTTCTTCAGTGGAACACAAAAGAAGATATTTTGAAAAAATGTCAATACAATGAAAATCAACATGGTCCAACATTAGACCCCCAGTGGCTGAGTCTTGTATGGCCTAAATAATTCTTCAAAAGATCTTCTTTTGTGGTCTATTTAAAAAAATGTCAATACAATGAAAATCAACATGGTCCAACATTAGACTCCCAGTGGCTGAGTCTTGTATGGCCTAAATAATTCTTCAAAAGATCTTCTTTTGTGGTCTATTTAAAAAAAAAAAAGTAATATAGAAATAGTACAATATGAGGCTAAGTAAATTATGGCAGAATTTTTTTGGGGGGGTAAACTATTAAGACATCCTACTCTAGCCTTTGACTTGTATATGATAATGATATTGGCTATAACTAGACGATATGACATGCATATACTGGGTCTGTCAATCTTACACATCATCCTTTATGTATTTTCCTTTTCAAGTCTTCTGAAACACACAACAGTTAAAAAAGTAGTTTTGTGTGATGAATTGAGTTGATTCATTCAAAAGCCATTCAAAAGATTTATTCAATGATTCATTCACGACTCAGAGTTCAACTCAATGATCTGACTGCAGTGCTTCACATCTCTCTGGATGGGAAGATTATTAGTGAAAAATGTCTTAGATTTCAGTCTGTTCCTTATAAAACTATCATATGGCTTAAGAAGTCATAAGGAGTTATTTTCTATATTTTGATTGTGTTTTTACATCCTGTTGAATTTTGAAAGCGCCAGTTCCCTATTCATTGTAAGTGAATGTAAAGAACGCCCATTGTAACAAAAGAAAGAAAGTCACATGGGTTTGAAACAACATGCAGACGAGTACATGATGACAGAAGATTCATATTTGTGTGAACTATCCCTTTAAAGGAAACTCTTTAAGATCATGCTCTTACTCACTGTCTCGAAAGTTCCTAAGCATGCCAGCGACTCGATAAGGAATGGTACAGCACGTGATGACTGTTTTATTTAGCTGTTTTGAAATATTTTGGAGATCTGTCTTTTGGCTCACAAACAAGCAAGTTGTAAATGATTAGAAGAAGCCTGACTCAACAAGCAGACTCGTGTATGAGACGCACCATCTAGTACAAAAAAGTTTTTTTTGTGAGTAAATGATGACAGTTTTACATTTTCAGGTGAACTATCCTTTTAAGTTTCATGGTTTTCTGCAGCAGTTCTGCTGACATTTTAGAATTTCAGATTAAAATCCTTCGGCTGCAATAAGAATTTATTGAGGTGAAGAATGAGGGTGAAATACTAATATAACTTATTCCTCTGGACTGTTAAAGAGTTGAACTAAAACATTTATAGAGGGGAAAAACAGCTATTTACTTTGTAAAAAGCATTGGGTTTTGACTTTTCTAGACATATTGTACACAAATATGCTGACAAACCCCATTCCAACACCTTTACTACTTCAAACAGGCGAAGCCCCAGATCCAGCAAGCACAACTAAAGCTCATCTCACACGTATCTGTATACTTTAACTCTGAGTCACCTCTGAGCCATCCGGATGAGAGTTATAAGTGTCTGTAGAAGACCTGTGAGCACAACTCTCTGAGATGGACTAGATTAAATCCCCCTGCCTATAGACAAAACTCATTTAAACATACAGTGAAAACAAGTTTTGGGGAACTTTTCTCATTTTGGAATGAGTGAAGTCCATTAAAATTGGAATAACCCACAAGAAACTTGAGTTTAAAGAATATGATCTTATCCGCTTTAGAACAAGCTTTGATTTACAGCCCATCCCTTTATCGGAAGAAAGGAGGAGTTTTTTTCCTATTCTGCTCTGGTAATGTCTGCTTTGAAGCTACTTTTATTTAGGTATAAAAATATAGACTACAAAAATGTTGATTTTTTTCAAAAAGTTTTTTAAAAGAATTATTTAATGCTCACCAAGGCTCCATTTATTTGTTTCACTATATTACAGTTTTACTATATTATTTATTAAATAAATGCAGCCTTAGTGAGCAAAAGACATGTCTTTCAACAACATAAAAAAACTGTATTTATTCTTTTGGCCTGTAGTGTTTGTACTCTACCCAAAAGAGTGTTTAACAGTTTCCATCCATACCCCCACATATGGCTCTCACTGCACTGGTGATTTAGGTGACCACCTGAGAGACATTGTTCTAGGTCACAATGAAGTGAAGTCCATTAAAATTGGAATAACCCACAAGAAACTTGAGTTTAAAGAATATGATCTTATCCGCTTTAGAACAAGCTTTGATTTACAGCCCATCCCTTTATCGGAAGAAAGGAGGAGTTTTTTTCCTATTCTGCTCTGGTAATGTCTGCTTTGAAGCTACTTTTATTTAGGTATAAAAATATAGACTACAAAAATGTTGATTTTTTTCAAAAAGTTTTTTAAAAGAATTATTTAATGCTCACCAAGGCTCCATTTATTTGTTTCACTATATTACAGTTTTACTATATTATTTATTAAATAAATGCAGCCTTAGTGAGCAAAAGACATGTCTTTCAACAACATAAAAAAAACTGTATTTATTCTTTTGGCCTGTAGTGTTTGTACTCTACCCAAAAGAGTGTTTAACAGTTTCCATCCATACCCCCACATATGGCTCTCACTGCACTGGTGATTTATGTGACCACCTGAGAGACATTGTTCTAGGTCACAATGAGGCTGGACGTTATCCAGAGGTCAAATGCCACACTAATGAAAGGAAAGACACACTTGAAAGTCTGTCATGTGGCTGGACTGATGACCAAATGTGGGACGTTTACTGCAAATTCAAATATAGCTCAACACGGTGCACCTTCAAAACAGCTACTTGAAATCTGGGCCAGCGATGCATTTATCTAGTATTTAACCTGGGCAGTCTATGAAGACTAAACAGCTGTTTCGGTCTAAAATATAACAGATAGCTGCAGCATTTCTCTGACCTTGAGTGAGGCACAAAAGGGAGCCCGAAGACATTATAGGGTGTCATGCCTGTCCTCACTGATACTGTAATACCTGTCCTCTATAACACAAGGGGCTGGAAAACCAGCAATCAGTGCAATTAACAATGACAATGAGTGACTAAACACCACTTAAAAAACCATTTGTTTAATATTCTTCATAGTTCAGACCCTTTCTCTATATCATTTATATATATGGTAGTAGAAAGCAAAAGTTATCCAACTGTAACAAACAGTTGAGTACCTTCAGCATGAAAACGTGACATCATTGATGATTATCAAAACAGAACTTACAGTATATTAAAGGAAAGCGATTCCTCTCCTGGCAACGTGACTGTAAACCTGAATGAGTTCCAAATGATGAAGCAGACTGTAATAAAGTGATTTGTGTGTGCCCCATCTGTCAGTATTGGCACTGTCATGTGTTTACACACAGCACACCCCTGAGATTATCTTAATAATATGCAAAGTGGCATATAAACACACTTTAACTAATCTAATAAATGTGACAAACTCTAACATCATAGATTAAATAAATGGCTTTAGTTCACTGAATTCATTTCAAAGAAAATGTTCATCACAATGAGCACTGGATCGACATATTAAAACATAATTTAGATAACCTAGAGGGAAAAAAAAGTGCTTTGTGTGATAAAATCTAAGTCAAATATAAGCTAAAATGACTGAATCAACCTGACTACATTAAACCAACAAAGTCAGGGTCAGATCAAATAAGGCAACAATTATTTTCACTTTTAAAAAAATGTTGACATACTAAAATGGAAAACTAAAATTCTTATTAAAGTGATTCAAATTGCAGAACCATACGTTTACTGCACGTTTCCTAACCCTTTTAATTGAATTATTCATTACAAAATGTCAAAAGTCATCGAGTTGAAACATAAAGATGAAGTAAAAATGAAAGTTAAATGATACAAACAAACAAAATCCTTTGACAAAAAAGAGATCAAATGTTAATGTCAAACTGTGAAATAAATTTTAAAACAATGTGCAGAAGCTATTTCTACCTGATCTGACACATATAACAAAGTAAAATCTGTAATCTTATGTAGTTAGGCTGGTTTAAAATATATTACTATTTTAACTTTGAATGAAACCAGCCAACTGCAATGTTACCATATGAAACACGTTTTAGGTTGTCTGATAAGTCATAATGCAAGAATCATCATCTTCTCTCAGCCTCGGCTATGCAATTTGAATCATGGCACTGTCACGCAGTATTGCACTATAAAGCTAAAAAATCATAACCTTATTAAATAAGTTTGTGGTGGGGTCATATAAATTAAATCTGGGCTGGTAAGTGAAAGGTTGAAAGTTCAAACCCAAGGATTGATCCACGTTCCAGAAGGAACATTAGGCTATCTGTGTCTAGTCAACTTCAATAAAAGTGTCAGTTAAAAACTACTTAATCCAAAATATCCAAGTTCTCTGTGGGACTGTGAGCACAAACTTCCACTGTTCCCACGCTGACCGGGGTTCCTCAAAGCACACATCTCTGAAGGTACACTCTAATGAAAAAATGCTGGGTTAAATACAACCCAGTGCTGGGTAAAATAGGGACAAACCCAGCAATTGGGTTGTTTTGACCCAAATGTTTAACCCAACCTTCTGGGTAGTAACCCAACCGCTGGGTCAAAACAACCCAATTGCTGGGTTAGTCCCTATTTTACCCAGCACTGGGTTGTATTTAACCCAGCATTTTTTTGGCTACGTGCGCCGTTCCCATCAAGCTCTAGGAGCTCATTCTCCAAAGATGAAGGTTTAACCTTATACAACAAGCCGTTTCACAACACTCCTACCTTTCTTTTCCGGCGTCGCGCAGAAGCTCCATGAGAGCAGTAAGGTAAAAAACAATCCGAACTCAGTTGGTCCTGCCATTTCTTATGTGTAAAGCCTCTCAGACTTCACTCCATAGTTAGAAGGGCTCTTCTTTCAAGGGGTTCTCAGTGTTCAGAGATCTTGCCGTCTCGTCTTCTTGAGAAAACTCGCTCGGCTTGGCTGTAAACTTTGACAGCTCCTCCTCCGCGCTCGCGGACCTCGGCAGTGATAGAGGCGCGTTCTGCTGGACAGAGCTGCGCTCGTGACGTCGGCAGCAGGGAGGCTCCTGCGCGAGCTGTAAGGCGTTCATCTCCAGGTAGCTACTTATTGATCTCGATGTTTGTGACATCATTCCGATGCCAGATGAAATCTTTAACCTGCTGTCAATCAACAATGAAGACCCGTAGAGAAGAGACATACCAAACGAACACGGGAACGCATTGTTTCTGTGTCTGTATTTGTCACAAACTAATACTCACATAGCTATTTGTCTGCAACACATGACATCTGCAACGTCTATAGCACTCAAAGGTAAATACAGAGTGCTGTTGTTACAGCTTAATGCACCGATGAATTGGAAAAGAATAGAAATAGGCTTATATTGTGATAATCAGATTAACATGTTCAAAATGAATCCCCCAACAAACTAATATAATATATATGCACACTAACATTTTAAAGTTTGGGGTCAGTAAGAAGAACAAAAATACAGAAGAAAATATTGTGAAATATCATTAAAATTTTTCATTTTTTTTTATTTTACCATCTTAAAAAGTAATTTTTCCTTTTCATGGCAAAGCTCCAGTCTTCAGTGCCACGTGATCCTTCAGGAAGCTGATTTGGTGCTTTAGAAACATTTATTATAATCAACCTTGGAAACAATTATTCTGCTCAGTTTTTGTATGTCACACAATTGATTTCAATCTTCATCTGCCCTGTAGAATTAGATAAGTCTACAAACTTCACCTTCTGATTGAATTTCTATTTATTTATTATTATTATTTATTTATTTATCCATTCATTTCTTTATTTAATGCCAAAAAGCTTGTAAAAATGTTTAATTATAACAAGAATAACTGCTAATTCAAACCAGATCTGTTATTTAACATCCATTAACAACATCAACAAAAGTTTTTTTTTTTTCCTTTTTTTTTCTTTCGCAACTTCTGCTGTCATCCACGGTAATGGTCATGTATGATTTCACCCATTTAGGTCATTTCTAGCTGGTTAAAGTGATAGTGTTACAACTCCCCTGAGTTGCAACACTCCCCGTCTCAACTGTTTTTCAATGATAAAACGAAATGCAATTGTTTCTCAGAATTTTCTCCAGAGAAAACGAACCCAGTAAACTCAAGTGTCTCAGTTTCAGAAGAGATCTCAACAGTTTCACAAACCATGCTCAGATTTGCCAAGATATAAGTCTATAGCCAAAAGTCGGTGATTTGTCATATACTTCCAAAGACCAGATGATCTGAAGTGTTATCCACATATAGTTTTGTACTTTTGATGTTAAGAGGATAATTCACCCAAAATGAAAATTCATCATTTACGTTTGTTTCTTTTGTTGAACATACAGGTAAAAGAAGATATTTTGAAGAATGTGGGTTACCAAACAGTTGACGGTCCCCACTGACTTCAGTAGTACAGAAAAATGCTGTTTGGTTATCAACATTCTTCTTTTGTGTTCAGCATAAGAAAGGTTTGGACCAACCCAAGGATGAGTAAATTAACTATTAAACCATTCATGTCAGTCTTATGCACACCCCTTCAAGTAAAGTGTCACCGTGTTAATTTTTTAGAGAAAAGGAGGGATAAGTGGAAATTAATTTTTATGATAATCAACAGTCATTAAATGCTGTTGCCTGATTCAGATGATATCAACTCCGAGTACTGTACATCCCTGGTATCATCTGAATCAGAATTAATTTTGAGAGACAGCATTTGCTCAATTCTGTTAAGTCTGAGTTAGGCAGGGAGAGTTGTAACACTAATTTCCTCATTTACTTAATGTTCCAAAAAAAGAACACAAAATTTAAGCTGATGTAATTATTATAGTGTTACAAGCCTCAACTTACTGTTAACCCACCCTAGTAGCAAAAGCACTCTTTGTATTTAACATTAACTTAAAAAAGCTTAGGGACAAATTGTGAGATAAACAACACAAAAGAAAAAACAAATCTGTTACAGGTGTTAAAGCAAAAAGTGTTGTAACCACTGGTTTCCCCATATCTTTTTTTTATTGATTTTTTTTGATGAAAAGTACAATTTCAACTGAATTTGAAGCTAGCGATTGCAATTAAAAAAAATCTTTTTTTTAAATGAAAAAGAGTATTAACATGTTAATAAAAAGTCATTTTGCCTTATTTGGGGAAAAAGTCAAATAAGTTTAAAAGTCAATATCAAATTTATTGTCACTTTTAGCACATCACATGGCAATGGATAAAAACAAAACAGTTCCTCCAGGAAACAACACTAATACATGTAGTAGACAGTCACAAGGACTAAGACAACAGAATATATTGACAATATGCAGACAATAGAATTCAGGTACACAGAGTAAATAACAGACATTAGATGACTAGGAAATTGATGGTTAGTAGGTACACTCACAAAAGCTATCACTGGGGCAGTTCCATTTCAAAAGGCACTCCTTTGTACCATATTTACCTCTAAAGGGTGCATTTTGGTACCTTAAAGGTACATATTAGTGCCCTTTGAAAGGATAACGCCCCGTGAAAAGGTTTTGTCCCTTTTATTCTGAGAGTGTATTATAAATAAAGTGTAGCAGCAGTGGGATGATTGACTATAAGTACTAGTGAAAAAATATATATGTATTATTACTATTTACTGTGAAAATAATATATACAGTATGTACATGAGTGATAGATTGACCATATTTACACCGATTTCTGCAACAGCATTTTATAGTAGACAAACATCTAGCAGACATTACTAAACAAACACATTTTACCTCCAATTGTGCAAACATATGAAACATTCAAATGAGTAACGTATGCATAACACTTCTGATACTACTCATCCAAAATAGCACATATGCTTAAATTAAAAACAATCTTCACAAATAGCTGTGTAATACGATGCCTGCTAGGCTACTGCCAATAACTGGAAGAACAACAGACTGTTAGACAATCTTTGCTTTTGCCTAATAATTAATGCTCAAAAAGTCAAATATTTATAGTTGTCTGTAATCACATAATCAGGGGACTGTTTTTCATTATAGTGAGAGTCAAACAGATACTGGAAAAGCAAATGTAATCAGAGACATATGTGCGTTCTTCTCAATTTGAAAAGATTAAAATAGTAAAAGCTTATTTTAATCCCTCATGCACAGAATGATTGACTCCAGAAAAGACCCTCCCCCATGATACACCACATGACCTTTGTAAAAGCCCTCAAAACTTATTTAGGACTAAATTAACGATTTATGTATTTGAACTGCATATTTCCATTCATCTGGATTACACAGCTTTACAGTAAACTAAATGTGATGCATATTCGTCAGTCATACATAAATAAAACAGTTAAGAATTCTGTAATAGTGCTAATTAACTAAATGTGTTGTAAATACACAAAACCCATAGACTGTATAAAAACATGGACATAGTGCCCGTGACGTCACCCGTAGGTTTCTGAAGAGCGTATTTGAAGCTCAAAGTTTGAGTCTATTGATCATCTTTTTTTTCAAATGCCCCCTTGTTAAGGAATTTTGGTCTGACGTGTCAAAAATATTTTCTTTCAAATTTAATGTAGACATTATATTCATGACATGTGTCATGTCATGATTATGAAGGTGTCATGTCAGTCTTATGCACACCCCTTCAAGTAAAGTGTCACCGTGTAATTTTTTTAGAGAAAAGGAGAGATAAGTGGAAATTCATTTTTATGATAATCAACAGTCATTAAATGCTGTTGCCTGATTCAGATGATATCAACTCCGAGTACTGTACATCCCTGGTATCATCTGAATCAGAATTCATTTTGAGAGACAGCATTTGCTCAATTCTGTTAGGTCTGAGTTAGGCAGGGAGAGTTGTAACACTAATTTCCTCATTTACTTAATGTTCCCAAAAAAGAACACAACATTTAAGCTGATGTAATTATTATAGTGTTACAAGCCTCAACTTACTGTTAACCCACCCTAGTAGCAAAAGCACTCTTTGTATTTAACATTAACTTAAAAAAAGCTTAGGGACAAATTGTGAGATAAACAACACAAAAGAAAAAACAAATCTGTCTTTAACTACTTAATTATAACACTAAAAAATAGTAATACCAAAAAAAGTGTCAAATTTGTGAAACTGTATAATGATCTGCTGAATGGTACATAATTTTGATTTACTACCTCTGTACTTTTTTGTTTTATCTATGTTTTTTTTGTTTTTTCTTCTTCTTCTTCTTTGTCTTCCTATATAATTTGTGTATTCATAATGTCATCCAATGTTACATTAATTGTTGAATATTAAGTGTTTATACTTGCAATAATAATAAAAAAATATTTTGAAGCTCAAAGTGGGCGGAGCCAGCCGTCGACATCTTGGCAGCGCGTCCCTCCCAGATAATTGAAAATGGGCAAAGAGGCGGGAACTGGTTGCTGAAACCACGCCCACCTAGCCTCGACGGTGGTGACCGCAGCAGCAATCCACCTGTCGCTCAAGTGGCCACGCCCTTAATTATGCAAAACGTTAAGGCTTAATATAATTTAAACGGATGAGTTCTAAAAAAATTCACCCCCCTCACAGTTGTCGTGAAGGGCAAAATTAGCTATATAAACCAAAACCACTTTTTGTACCAGGCTGTAAACATATTTTTTTTTCTGCTGTAAAGTTGGGCATTTTAACATGGGGAGTCTATGGGACTGACTCCCTTTTGGAGCCAGCTTCTAGCGGCCAGTCGATGAATTGCAGTTTTAGTCACTTCCGTGTTGGTTTCACGAGAGAGACCGGAAGGTTACCGCTTGACAAAAACCAACAAAAAATTATAATTAACATTAAATTTAATTTGCTTCAACTGAATAAAGTTTGCACAGCTATATAGGCATATTTTAAACATGGTCATATTTTTTAAAGGTTCATTGTTTTCACAGTGAACTGATTTCAAGCAACATTAATAAATACATTTGAAAATACGATGATTTAAATAAATTCAAATAGATGCAAGTAGTTAATAATAAACTATAATTTTCTAAATGC